ACCATGAGTTACAGCACCGGGTGACACCAACCCTAGTGACGCCACTGCAGGCATCTCACACATAAACCCATGAAAAAAAACACACTTACTGCAAATTGGCACCATACAACATTCGCAAAAAGAGACATACACAAAAAACAGAAGGCGAAAATGTGAAACGGGTAAAAAAAACGGGTAAATGAAACTCGGAAAATGAGAGAGAGAGAGAGAGAGAGAGAGAGAGAGAGAAAGAGAGAGAAAGAGCAAAAGAGATAAAAGAGATGGAGAGTGAAAGCAAGAGATGTAGAACCAACTTGTACATGAGATCAGTTTCATCTCTGACGAGAACATTCCTCTGGTCGATCAAGTCAAACCACCTCTGCATATGATTGTCCTCATTCACAGTGTTCTCATCTGCGGATAAATAGAGATACGTACGTTAACTATGTGTTCGTATTCTGTCGCTAACTAGTTATAAATAAGTATTTTGACCATTTATTATTTTACATTATTCTATTTTTTCATTTGTTTAATAATTAGTTAACATCAAATAACGTTAAAATATAAAAATTGTATTTCATTTTAAAATATTTTTTCAGCCACGAATTAGATTTGTATTTACAGTTAAAAGAATATAACTTTGCCCAACATTAGAAAGAAAAAGAGAGAGAGAGAGAGAGAGAGAGAGAGAGAGAAAGAAAGAGAAAGAGAGAGAGAGAGAGAGAGAGAGAGAGAGAGAGAGTAATAACCTCTTCTGATCAAGTTCTCCAGTTCCCTGCCTAGAGTCTCCAAAGTTTTCAACTTTTTGTCAATCTGCTGCAAATTCTGTAAGATCTCCTGCTCAGCTATCTCAGCTATCTGAGTGCGTTGGTGTGCGTACACACGAAAATTATTATTCACCAATTATGTAGCGAAACGAAACGAAATTTTATTTAGCAGCAAAAATTTCATAAGAAATAAATGCTACATGGCCGACCAGAGAAAAGTTTTTAAAAAATTTTTATCAAGTCTCACCTTTCAAATGACATAAAGTGAAAATTGCAGTAACGGTACAACAACTGATAATAACGATGATTGCAACAATAATGAGAACGACATTGTTTTATATATTCATTTAAACTTCTTTCTATAATAATTAATTTTTATAATGTTAGATATTAATTACTTAAGTAACTAAGGTATGCTGAAACCGGAAGTTTTAAAGAATTGAAATTAGTTCTCAAAAAAGTTTTGTATCATTATCCCAACGTAACAATGCAAACCAACTTTTGATAATTCATACCCATCCTCTGCATCTTCAAACACACTGAAATCCATCGACTCAAATTTCATGGGCTTCGGAGGAACTATTTTTCTTCTCGGAGGTTCAGATGGTCGGGGAGGAGGAGGTAGAGGATGATGATGATGATGAGAAAAAGGAGAGAGAGAACGATGAGGAGAGAGGGGGTGAGATGATGAGAATTCCAGTTGCACCTGGTTTGTCAGACGTGGTGGAATTGGTCTTGATGGAGCTTCAGTTTCTATGGTGGTGAAAGATAGTGTGGATGTGACAACATCCAAGAATTTGGTCTGCGCGAAATCCGGTTTGATGACAATTCTTGATGTGACAGCAGGGTGGAGAGGTGCTGGTACGCTGCAATATGTCGGTGGAGCTTCTTCAGAAGGTTCATTCAAGACTTGATATTCACTTTCTGCAATTGACGTAAATGAAGTTGTCAGGAGTTGTTTTCGTGACAGGCTGAGCCGCGGTGGTTTGACGGGAGGATTCGTTGAGTTCTTTGCAGGGGGGGATTTCAAGTCGGAGTGGGACCGAGTGGGTGACGAGTTAGGCAGACTCGATTTTTTTGGGTGCATCATTGTCGGTAGTCGATCATTTTCCATGTTATCTTGTATCTCATTAGGAAACTGTAAATTTTTAATACATTTCTTGATTGATTGATAAAGTGCATACTCGTTTGTTTCGTGTTGAGATTGAGGCTGTTCGACATTCAGTTTGGTGTATAGGTTGTTTTGCGTGTAAGGTTTGTTACCGCTTGAAATTTTAATTTCTGACTCGTCATCTGGCGCTATTTCATGCACATCGTGTATATATGATTTTTTTGATGGCTTAGGTTGGAGTTTTGGCTTGGAGCCGTGTGGAAGAACAACACCAAATTGCTTTTCTTCTAGCTTCGGCTGATCACATTTAATTGCATTGTTCTTCAGTCTTCTTAGATTGCAGTCAACGGGGTTTGAAAATTTTTTTTCGTCGTACATGTTAAAATTACTTTGCATATTTTCCATATCTGGCATGTTGAAGTCGTTACTCTTCAAACTTTCGCCATAAACATCGCTATAAGAAGGATCATCATTGTGAACGAGGACTGAACATTTATAATCACTCCCACTGTGAACAACATTTGTCTGCTGGTTATCATTGCAAGTAGTCGGACGCGATTTTATTTGGGACGAATGATCAGCAGCAGCAGGAGAATGTGGATGATTGCTATGTTTTGAAGTTTTTGCTGGTTCGTTTAGATCATTACCCTTCTTGCTGGCAGACGTATGCGATGTGAACTGAAACGACCGTGGACTGGGTTGGGGCCATGTGACTACTTTAGCTGGATTCAAATTAGGTGAGTCACCATAACCCCCGTGTGATTTCTGTGAGTTAATGAAGCATTTCTCTTTCACGTTACTCTTCTCCGTATGCTTGGTTGATAGTTTCGGAGACTTGTTAATGAATGTAGAACTTGGGTTTGATGTACCATTTGTCGAAATTGATTTTTTTGATAAAGACTTGCTCATTGAAACATTGGTCAGCCAGTTTTCGTCAATTACAACTTCTTTGTTTTTCGTAGTGTCCAACTCTACTGAACTAGTACAAACAATTTTAATTTCACTTTCCCAAGAACCTCCATTGTAATTTTCTGTCAGAGCCTTCCTTAAGATTTTCAACCCATTTGAAGAGCCTTTCAGTGATGAGATGTTGTCATCAGAACTGTCCTTTCGAGTTTGTTCATTCTTGTTCAGCTTGGCGTCCTCATTCCCAATGAAATTCAAATGTTTCTCGTTGCAAAAATTAAAAACTTTGTGCACATCTGACAAGCTGTCAACGGTTATAACTGTCACCTTGCTCCCACTCGAAGTAGTTGTAGAATTTGAATCACTTTGTGAATCACATGACAACATGGCTTCAATACTTTTCAGACATTGGCTCTCTCTTTCGCTTATGTAACTATAATTTGTTGGCAGGACCTTTGTGCTGTTTGTCGGGTTGAATGGCTGTCCATTTTTGTTGTCGTTTGATTTGTACTTGTGAGGTGAAATGGGTGGTGTGTTAGCTGCAAACTTGTTGCGACCCAACATTGTATCAGACGCACAAGATGTCGCTGATCTTTTGAGGTTACCTTCATAATCCTGATGGTCTTTAATATTTATCTCAGTGTTGTAAAAACTCAAACTGTTTCTGCTGTTGCCAGCAACTGATTTTAAAGGTTTCAGATTTGAATGAAAAACTTTAAAACGTTGATTGTCGGTGGAAGATTCTCTAGTTACTGGTTTATTTTCTTTAGTACTGTTGCGATTGCTGACTGTTTTGGAGTTGTTTTCATTTCTGAGCTCCGTAGTGCACTCAAACAACTTGCTGAATTTTACATCTTCAAATGCTGTGTGAGCTGTAGCAAGGGGTTTGTCGTCACCAGCTGATAGATCAGCCACTTTGTTGTTGTTTGACTTGTCATCGACATTTATCAACTTGCTTTTGTTGTTAATAACGAACTTTGATCTAGCTACGAACGATTCATTTTTTTTATTGTCAATAGTTTCTTCGCTGTTTGCAGAGTTACTGCTTGGGCATCCTTCATTTTTTAAACCATCGTTATCAACAACAACATTATTGCTTGGATGACGACAATCAGTATGATGTTCCTTTTTATCTTGCATGTTCTCAGAGGAACTAACTTTCAAACTCAAAGGTAGTGTTGTTGTTGCAAGATCTGAATTCTGCGTGGAGAGAGAATGAGAAGGAGGAGGGTTAGGAGATGATGACGACGATGATGATGATGGAGGTTGGGTTTCTACCAGCGTAAAAGGTTCGTGAACGTTGCTAGCGGTGCTAACATCTTTCCAGGCCTCTTTTGCGTTACATTTCATCTCAGTGACGAGACTATTGCTATCTCGTGAAGCGTTTTTCAATTTATTACTTTCAAAGTTTTCAAACTCATTGTGCTTTGCATTGAAAACAGATTTCTGCTGGTTCCTAAAACAAGAACGGTGGTACAACTTTTCTTTGTCAACGTGCCTCTCGAGCAAGTAAACTTTTTCACGACAGATCGCGCAAGTGTTGTCCTCCGATATGCTGTTCAATCTAGTCAACTTCTGGTTGCCATTCTGAAAATTATTTCAAACGATTTTTACAGTAAAATAAATTTTTACAAACAAACAAAAGCGTAAACCGCAAGAAAAATCATAAGCAAATAAGAATGAAAAAATAAGGAAATTTATGAAAATGAACAAATTCTGTAGATAATAATTTACTGAAACTTACCATCACTGCAGACTTTGGTTTCTTTGTTGATTCATCATTCTCAGTGCTCTCACTGGCAGGTCTCTTGACAATTGAGGTGGTGTTTGTTGCTGGTGTGCTGCTCAGAACTGCTGCTGTTACAACATTTAAATGAATTAACAGTTGATTATTGGTTAATTATTATTAATTTCATTATTGTAATAATAACCTATTATATTATATTATATTATTATTATTAATTGGTTTAATATTAGATATTGGCGAATAAATAAAACAAACAATCAACAATGAGTCCCAACCTAATAAACATATTACAGAAAATTTAGTATATAACACATTTTTTAAATTCATACTTGATAGATTTGAATGTTTAACAATTTTTAAAAATTTATGCATAATGAATATATGTAACAAAACTCAATGCTACTGAGATGCTACATAAAATACGCATCTAACGTTTTTGTTTGCCAAAAACATTGTAGTACTGTGAGACATAAGTTATTATTGACAGGCGATCGGGAACTGTCAAGTTCACCATATCTTCAGCTTCCAGAAATGGCGATATCCCCAGTTTTTCACCAACTGTAAAAGCCTTTTTTATCAAATCAATGTAACAGTTATAAAAGTTTTAATGTAAAACTGAGAATAAGATAATACAAGTTAAGAAAATTTGCAATAAACTAATTATTAAATAGTTATTCATAATTAAAACATCTGCAAGCATTTAAAATATACATATTAATTAGAAATAAATATGACAGAATAAATTCTCATTACCAGTTTATTATTCCCATATATATCTTCCTTCTTCAATGAATCAAAATTTCTACAATTGAGATAAAATAAAACAAGTTTGAAAGAAATTAACTAATCCATTTTTAAAGTAATATATCAAATTAAAAATGAAAAAATAAAATGAAATATGAAAGAAACAAACATTAGATGAGGATGATATCGATGTATGATGGCACAGAATGCCAGGCCATCTCTCCAGGAAGTTGTCATGTTCACTATTTCCACATCCCTGTAACCTTGACATG